AAATTTGGAGCTGCAGTTGTCTCAGTAAGATGAACAATTCATCTTGGTTTGCTTGGGGCTTTACCAGTTTTAGCACTGAAAGTCCCACATCCTGGGAACCTCCCTGAGTCCCAAACAAAACAGGACTGTTGGTAATGAGCATCCTGAATCACCTTGTCCATTGGTTACCTAATGGCTCTGTGGAAGTTCTGTGAAGTGCTGCCCAGCACATTGCCTTACCCTTAATACTATTCAGGAAATATCTATGAAATTATAATTCAGTGTTATGTTTTGTTTGGGGAAAAATATTTTCTTCTACTTCCTAGATAGGACATAATCTTTGGAATTACTCTTGTTGATTCGAGACTTACTGGCTCAACACATTTGGTATCATTATCTACTCTGGTCTCAGCTTGGTTCAAATTTCCTTGAAGTTTTAATATGCTATTCAGAGGCAGCTTTTTGTGAGAGGGCAGCAAAATGCAATAGCTGAAAGATATTGTGAATATAAGAGGACATTTCTCTACTTGCCTCTAGTCCAACACATCATAAAATAAAACCAAGTTATTTCCCCCCAGTTCAGATATTTTAGCACTTTGTCAGTGTTGAATGTGTGATACACAAATGGTCAGTCTTTCATTACCCTTTAAATTAAGGATATATGAAAATTAACATGCCCCTGAGAACATAAACAAAGTCAGGTCTCTCAGAAATTCAAGTTGTCTTTCTTCTCCCCAGTAAATTAAGTTCTCAGGGAGGGAGACATTCTGTGATAGCCCCAAAGAAGGGAGGAGCAGAGTGACAAATCCCCCCTCCCAGGAAGAAAGATATGGTGGAAGGCAAGAGGTGGCAGTTGGGACCGTCTCAGGCTCTAGGAGGTTATGGAGAAGAGAAAAGGACAGAAGTAGAGACAAAGCAAGATTTGTGATGTTTGCTGTCTAATTTCTTATTTCAGGGCTGGTATCCCAGTGAAGATAGGCTGAGAGAAAGATGCAAACTTCGAGGAGGTACCTGGGATCCTTGCATCACACAATGTCAGAAGGCACAACTTTGGGAGCAGCCCTTCAACAACTTGAGGCAGCTGATTTAGAGTAAAATTGCAAGAGCTAAGAGATTGCATGGTCTTGGCAGCTGCCTAATCTTCCTCGGCTTCTGGTGATATGGAAAATTACTCGTAGCTCCCATGTGGCACTGGTAGAGCACACAGGAGTCACTATTGCTGGCGATAAGCTTTTCAGGGTCATCCTGCAGTGAGAGCCATGTCTCCAGGGGAAGAACCAAATAGGATTCACAGCCAGATCTTAGGGGAAATATACAGCATCACCAACAGCTGAGGGGAGTCTGAGTTAACAAACTAGACTAGTCTGAGAGAAACTAGAGCACAAGCTGTCCGGTAACCTTACCAGACTTCAGCAACGTGAGCTAGCAGGGAGAGCAGGGACAAGATGGACAGGTGACATTCTTTCCACAGAAGCACAAGGATCCACTCACAGATAGGAGTACTCCCCCTCCCCACCATCACTGCCATAGGACACATAAGACCATGATCCCAGAAGCCGTCTTTGTCAGGGACAAGGCGGAAAGTGAAAAACTGGGAAAGAATAAGCATTTAAAAGGCATAGACTAAAAGAAGACATTTGAAAGCAGACTATGATAAACCCTTAATTTAAGTTTCCCTGGCCCACACTAACAAGTAGGGTAGGAGTTTGGGGACTGAAGGGAGTGCTCATAAGGGAGATTGAATTAATTGTTGAAAAATAAAATAGCCACATTTTCTTTGCATTTTTATGGATAGAATGAGTAAATATGCCATTCTGCTATAGTAGCTAATGGAATGAAGTTTTAAGTGTATTGATAATTCAGCAAGCAGATCTTTTGATGAAGCAATCAATCAGCTAATCACTGTATCATAAATCATGAACTGGTACTCAGCAAATTGGTGTTTTAGAAAACTGATCTTTTGATAAACTGCTATTCAGTGAATTGATCTGTTTTGCACTCGTGGTAAGAAAATGCAAAGAATCCCTACTTCCATGATATTTATTTTGACTCTACTGTTTTAGCCACTCAAATTTTGCACTAGTTGAAAACACTTTAAGATACATTTATATTGCTTCCATATTAGCACCCAAAGCTTCACTGTTTTGGCATAAATGTAAAATCTAATGAACCATGCATGACTAGTCATGAATCTGGTGTAAGTGGCTCTCTTAATACAGGTCCAGCCTTAGCAGAATCCTCCCAGGCATGATCAGAATGCAAAAGAGGAAAGGGTGTGGGGGGGGGGGGGAGAGGAGGTGGAATAATACAAATAACCCTGAAGCAACCCGCACTAATGCCCTGAAAATGTACGTCTTGTGCTGCTTGGAGATAATCTTCCCCACTTCAACCCACTTTGTAGTTTCATACCACACAGAATTCTTTCTTATGGCAAACCTTTGTTGGTGTGTAGTATGCAACATTTTTTCCTAAGGTCTGCTTTGCGTAAGTTGAGACTCGAGTGTCCCCAGCACATCTGTAATAAGACATCCTTACAATAAAAATTATCCCGATGTCATACTCCACAATGTGGAAGGAAGCCCTTGCTGTCAGATAGGTTCCATTTTAGCTCTCAGCTTCAGCTCAGTGCAAGCAAGTCAGGACCTTCCATATCTCCCAGAAACCACAGGTCATTTCTGCCACAGCACTGTCTCTTGTTCTCCACTGTCCCCCCTGCCTGTGCCCTGCTCCATTTTTAAAGCTTTCTGATCTCAAGAGCCACACAAAACCTTCCACCGACGGCCAAGGCCCCCACAGTGATCTCGTCATTTCCTGGAGACCCTATAAGCACTGTTTACCTGCATCGTTCACTTTTGGCTTTCAAACTCCATACATGTTAAGTTTTACTTCTTTCATGTATGCAACACTCCAAACACCAAAACTTCCTGAATTCAGGTGTTGTATCTGATATTTCCGCACCTTGTTCTGTGATGAGGACATCCACATCCACTCTGATAAAGCTTCCAGAACTGAATGAAACTTTCAGCTGTAGGTTAAATACTTTGCTATGATTTAGAAATAATTCTGCTTGCTCATATGTTCAAAATAGACACCATATCAAATCACTTAGGAAAAAGAATGCTTTTGGAAAGATTTTTATAACGATGGGAAATGATGGTATTCAGAAATAGAACTGAACTGGTTCTTTGAAAAACAACTTTGGAACATAATAATCTTCTTAAAAATTTGTTGAATAAAGCATACAGATCCAGCATATACAGATATGTCAGGGGAGGGGGGGACAAATTAATTTAGGATCCAAATGAAATAATAGAGACTGAGCAATTCACTTAATAGAGAAAAACCTTACAAAGTGCAAGACAAGGAAATAGAGAAAGAATTTATCTTCATGTCACAATAGGTCATAAATTGAATGTTAGGATATTTTTAGAGTAAATATGACATTAAAGATGATGAATAAGGCATATAATACTAATGAACAGGGATTGAAAAACAAACTACTTTTTGACAAAGGGCTCATACACAGGTCTATCTTTAAATAGCAAGTTTCTTAAAGTTTCCTTAAATGAACTTAAAGTCATTTATTAGTGCAGTTCATGCATATCTCAAGAATAAATGTATGAAGTACTTGTGGGCATTAAGATATATTCTTCATGTTCCATTGCAATTGTGTAATCTTTAAGGTATAAAATTTTCAGTTGGAAATCTCATCTAGAGATGTGGAGAAATTGGAATAAAAAGCAAATGAAATAGAGACCCCCCAAAAAGCAGAGGTTAAAGATTTTGTAAGCATGATGTTACCTATATAACTACTGTGAATATTTTTGATGTGTATAAAAGTAAAAATGTTACCATTATATTTTTAGAAATATAGAGAAAAATACCAGAAGAAACAACTAAAAGATTTGAAAATAGTTCCTCTGTGGAAAGAAAAATGGAGACGGAATAGGATAGGGAACAGGGCCTAGATTTTTTTCATTATAAGTTTTGTAATACTAATGGGTTTTTTAAAAAATGATTCATGCATTACTTTGAAAAAACTAAAGTTAAAATTTAAAAAAAAAAAAAAGTGTGAGATGCCCAGGAGCCAACTGGAGACTCTGCAGACCTGGGTGGCGCTGGGCAGCTGTTGACCTTCACTCTGGGTGATGGGTAGATCATGGGGACCAGTCATCTGTGATTGTAATTAAATGAAGGCCTTTTCTCTGCGGCTATTTTCCTGAAGTCAGTTAATAGTGTCCACAGTTGACCAATCAAGATTTCAGTATAAGCGTATTTTTAGAGATTGTCACCAGAATTAAACAGATTTTTTCTCTAAGGAGTGATGGTGAGGAGCTGAGAAGAGCAAATTGTCACTTTGCATTCAAGCCCACTGGGAACACTTAAACATTCAAAGCGTGGTGTGTGCCACAAGGGGAGAGAGGAAGGGAGTGGGATGGTGGCCCTCCTCGCCTTTGGTCCCAGCACCCCCTCAGCTCCTCTGGTGTGAATGACTCCCACCCGCACTGCGCTCTTCAGGTTTTAAACAGGTAAAAGTTTTTTTGGTGCAATCCATTATGAATCATTTTCAAAATGTAAATAGCAATTGTGCCATTTTTTATATTTGTTTCTTTCACGTTGCTGAGTCCCATGCTTTGCACATACTAAGTAATCAACAGGTATTGAATGAATAAATGAACCTTGCCCTATACCTATCTAACTGTACCCACACTGTCTGTTGGCTTCCAGTTGACTGGGCCATTGGGAGGCTACTCCAGGGGATCTGATTATGGGAAGAGATAGAGGTCCAGGTATTTGCTCCATCACCTCTTCCTCTTTCCCCCTCTCTCTGTCTCTGCTAGGTCACAGTTTAGCAGTGTCTGTGTTCCCCCACCCAAGTTGACAGCTCTTGCTAGACAGCCTTTCTCCTACAGCTTCAGTTCTTGCCAGATTCCAGCAGCCACGCCCTCTACTTGTCCCTTCAGACCCCGAGAAGGAGAAAGCTCTCTGCTTTTTCTAGCCCCTACATGTGTTATAGTAATCATTACGGTACTTAATATTAGGACCTTAGAATGTAAGACTTAAAGCATGTAACCCTGTGTGGACTGTTATAGTAATTATTATAGTGCCTAATGTTAGATATAGGAATACTGTGTGAGACCCAAGAATGCACCCTTGTAACCCAACTAGTACTGGTAAACAACCTATCTGATGGGAACGCCCAAAGCCTGTACACACCCATAGATTAACAGACCCCGGGTGGATCCACACATGGCAGCCGCTGGTAACACACACACCAACGAAGACCACGCCTACAGAGGGGTATATAACCAGACAGTCTGATCAACTCAGCAGCGCATAGCTCTCCTGTCGCCAGAGCGTGAGGACCTGTGTGTGCTCACATTTCGGTTCCCAGCATGAAACTCTGCCCAATTAACTGTCGATTGAAGAAAGAGCCAGCAGCCAACGGCATCGTCTACCCCTTTGTGTGTATCAGTGAGCATCACCGGGTGGATGCTTCCCGGTGCCTGAGACCCATCAGGAACTGGTAAATAAACCCCCTGTGTGCTTGCATCTAACCTGTTTGTCTGTGTGTAATTTCTCCGGCTCGGCTCAGATCTCGGTGCTGTCTCTGTGAAAGTGTCTGACCAGAAGGTATTGGCACAAGCCTCAAGCAGATGGTCCAGACCACCTGTGCATGTCCCACTTAGGAGCAGCACCTATATGGGAACCCCCCGCACCTCAACATAGGTGACAGGCCTTAACTATATAAGAAATAGAAGCTATTTGGGACAATATGCTTCTCCACCTTCCCTCAACCCACATCTTTGTAAAGAGTTCCTTCTTTAAACTTCATCCTATTTCTCTTTTGGTTCTTTGTCTTCTTGATTTCTTTCCTTTTCCTGCCCAAACCTTGTCAGATTCAACACATACATAATATACTTAGTCCAATTCAATGAGTTTTTAGGGTGCAAGGCATCGTACAAGGTAATACAGAGGACACAAAGATTCTGTCTTGCCTTTTAGTTCTTCAATACAGTGAGGAAAAATGAGAAGATATACAAATAATTACATAGTAGCCCAGCTGACATGGCTCAGTGGTTGAGAATTGACATATGAACCAGGAGGTCATGGTTTGATTCCCAGTCAGTGCACATGCCCAGGTTGTGAACTTGATTCTAAGTGGGGCGTGTGCAGGAAGCAGCCGATCAATGATGTTTCTCTCTCTCTCTCTCTCTCTCTCTCTCTCTCTCTCTCTCTCTCTCTCTCTCTCTCTCTCCCTCTATGAGGTCAATAAAATATATATTTTGGAAAAAACAAATAATTACATAATCAACATACAGATCAATTCTATTCATTATAAATATTAAAATAGAATAATTGAGAAGGCAGACAATGTTCAAATTTGCTCTGTTCCCTATTGTTTAAAAAGAATCTCTTTAACAGCTAGTGACTGAGTGGGCACATATCTGTCTTATCTTGTGTAAGAACAAGGCAGAATAGTTACCTTAATATACATGTTTCTGGACCTGGGACTCACTCCAGCACCTATCTGATGTATGTTTATGACCTTTGAAGGCTGACATGGGGCAACAAGATATATAGCAAAGGCCCAGATCCACTAATATTTATGATGCATAATCTTTTTGGTAAAAAGTGAAGAATACCAAGAGCTCAGGATTTACGGTTGGTGATTTCCCAGAACAGAGGGGGAAAATAATCTGTTTTCCTGATCCTGTTCACTTTCGTCTGCCCTCCTGAGCTTTGTCATGGGAGCTGTTACAGTGTTTTGTTGGGAGAAGAATAGAATTTGTGAGCCAGGATTTTAAAATTTATACAACAGGCACTATGGCTTACCAGTTTAGGGCAGACTGCTTGGGTTCAATCTTAGCTTTGCTATTTCCTTAGAGAAGCCAGTTAGCATTTCTGTTTTTCATTTATCTTACCTATTAAATGAGAATAAGAGCTGTACTTATCTCATAGGATCACAATGAGAATTAGATGAGTCAGTATGAGCAAAGTATTTATACACAGCACATGCTATATACCCATTAACTGTTGTTCTTGTATTTTTAGAGTTTATAAAGATACTAGAGGCCCGATGCACGAAAATTTGTGCACTGGGGCGGGGCAGGGGGGTCCCTCAGCCCAACCTGCCCCCTCTCACAGTCTGGGAGCCCTTAGGGGATGCACTACTGATGGCTTAGGTTGGTTCTCTGCGGGAGGTGACCAGGTGATCAGGGGAAGGCACCACCCCCATCACCTTGCTGCTGCTACCACTGCTGGCCACTGGCCCTCCTCAGCCCTCACAGCTGCTGCGGCTGCCTGCCCTCCTCGGCCCTCGCAGCCACTGTGGCCTTGTCCATAAAGACGTCCAGAAGGACATCCAGAAGGACGTCCAGTCTATTTGGTCTAATTAGCATATTACCCTTTTATTAGTAATTATTTTATAGATTCTAAAACCCTGTCTCTGAATTAGACATGGCCTGTCACATGAATTGACTTTCTTGGTGTGAAGAATTCCATGTGGCCAGTAAAACTCTTGATGTTCTGTCAGGTAAATGTGTTGTAAGAACTCTTCAAACTCTAAGCTTCAGAGGACTCAAAGCAGGAAGAGGTCATTGCTGATTGAGAATAGGTCAGCAGGCCCTTTACAAAGGTGTATGTTTGAGACAGGACATAAAATAGTCAGTAGGACTTAGAGAGGAGGAAAGAAAGGTACTCTTTCCTCTTAGGAAATTATTTTTAGTTCCCAAATTGTGCTTATCTTTTGTTTATTCCAGGGTACACTTTCCAAAAGCACTTCATCCTCCCAAGGACAACACTAATAGTCTCTGATGTTGTCTATTGTGTGGGGTTGGGGAGAAAGACAAGTAAAGGTTACATAACACATTTAAAGTCTTTGTGTTTCTCTGTGGCAGAATTTCAGTAAAGTCTGTGAGTTTACAATAGTTAGGAGGTACTGACTGCGTGTGTGTGTGTGTGTGTGTGTGTGTGTGTGTGTGTGTGTGTGATCCAGATTCCAGCCTTCTCTCCCTGTCCTGTCTTTTCTTCAGGGGAAAGGAGGATTTGTTTCATACCTTTCCTAAGTCAGTTTCATGTCAGAGCTGCACCTCTCTGTCTCTGTTAGGATTCCCAGGGCCATCATTCACTTTACTGCTAGTTGCTGCCAGGACACTTGGCCCATTGTCCCAGTGAAGGTATGTTGTTACTACTAGTTGTAGGTGTCAGCAAAGGTCTGGCATTTTTACTGCCCTGACTTTTTCTTTACCCCATCACAAGGTTGTTAAATTTACACTGAAGATTTAGTTATAGGAAGTTTGCTTCATAACAACACAACTTACAACGAACTATTAGATGTCCTTAGTTTTAAATGTCTTCCAGCTACTATTGGGAATTTACTTCCTCTGTCCTATTGCCAAATCTCTTTCTCCTCTCTGAATCCTCTGTCCTTTTAGATTCACCCCAGTATAAATTCTGTTTATTCTTATGCAAATAACTTACCTACCTTTTAGTTTTATCATTCTCTTTAAATACATGCCCTCGGGGTCTTTCCCTTCATCCTCATACAGCTCATCAAGGCATTTTCCAAATAAAGACATGAAGACAACTCTGAAGAGAGTTCTGGCACCAGGTGCTAAATGGTAAACATATGTGATGAGATGAAGAATTCTCACAGAGGAAAACTGTACAATCATACCTCCGAGATACTGTGGGTTCCAGACTGTGGCAGTAAAGCCAGTGTCGCAATAAAGCAAATCATAATCATTTTGCTGGTGGAAGGTCTTGCCTTCAATTCATAAAAAACAAACTCAATATCTGTGAAGTGCAATAAAGAACGTGCAATCATACAAAATGTGCCTGTAACTGAATATGAAAGGATCAGCCTGGATAGTTATCCCTCCTCTGATGTGCTAACAAATCCACAGACAACAGCAAAGTGGAAGACCATCTTTGCTCAGTCAGGTCAAATGTGAGATGACTGTCTTAAGCTGGATTCCCTAGAAATGGAACTGAGATGCAAATTACTGTGCAAGTTGTTTCATTGAGAAAATGCCTGCAGGGAAAGCCTGTAGGGATGGGGAAAGCAGGATGAGGTCAGGGGAAAAGCCAGGTAAAGATGTGGGCTCAATCAGTATGATCCCAGCTTGATCCCACAGGAAACTCTGGAGCAAGAATGATACCAGGGGGCCAGGCCTGGAGCCAATTAGGCAGTTCTGGAACTGGCCAGACCCTGGAGATCAAATATACACCAAACTGCATTCCGCCGGTCACTTTTGTTGCATTTTTATCTTCTCCAATTAAAAATGTCTACCCCTTTTATATCTTTATATTTTATATTTTTATTTTCTTGACTCACTAACCATAAACATTTATGTTCTGATGAATATTGATTGGCTCCACAATGGGCACCACTACAGTTGAGCTACCAATTCTGTTAGCTAGCATAGCTGGACACACATATGAGGCCTATAAAGGATTGAGGTATTACTGCCTTCTGATTGGTTGGATTACTGTTGACCCTTGAACAATGTTGGAGTTAAGGGTGCCAACTCTTGTGCAGACAAAAACCCATGTATAAACTTAACTACTAATAGCCTACTATTGACTGGAAGCCTTACCAATAACATAAAGTTGATTAATACATATTTTGCATATGTTTCATATACTATAGTCTTACAATAAAGTAAACTAGAGAAAATAAAATGTTATTAAGAAAATTGAAAAGAAGAGAAAATACATTTACAGTACTATACTATATTTATCAATGCTGTAAATTTACACAGTTTATTTACAAGATGGAAAAAATCCACAGATAAGTGGACCCATGCAGTTTAAACCCATGTTATTCAGGGTCAACTGTAGATTGATTGATCCAAATCTTAGCTAGAGTGGCAAAGATTCACAAATATTTGATTGCTCTTGCAAAACAAGATGTCATATTTAGTTAATATTTTATAGAGCAGTTTTTTCTAAGCAAATATTTGACAATGTCTTTTTATCTGATAACTACAGATAAAAATAACCCAAAACACAAAGGTATCTTATATCAAAAAAGAATTGAAATAAAGCATGCACCATTATCTATAATAATAAAAGCATAATATGCTAATTAAACCAGACAGACGAATGACCCTCTGAACATCCAAATCCAGACAAAGCCGGGGGGCTGAAGCAGAGGTGGTTAGGGGCAATCAGACAGGCAGCAAGCAGTTAGGGGCATCAGGCAGTCAGGCAGAGTGGTTAGGGGTGGTCAGGCAGGCAGGCGAGCGCTTAGAAGCCAGTGGTCCCAGATTTCAAGAAGGATGTTGGACTGCTGGTTTAGTCCCAATCCCGCGTGGGATCGGGCCTAAACCAGCAGTCAGACATCCCTCGAGGGGTCCCAGATTGCGAGAGGGTGCAGGCTGAGCTGAAAGACACCCCCCTCCCCCATGCATGAATTGTGTGCAGCAGGCCTCTAGTATAGTATAATATTAAGCCAAGATTTGTCAGTTTCAAAGAGCAATCAAACTAATCCTACTAAAGAAAGAAGTTAATTTCAAGGCTACATAAACTTCACAGATTCCAAGACAATGAGACGGAGGGTGGGACTATTGGAAACTCTCTGTCTTAGTGATGGTGTGGTCTCCTTCTTCTTTGATTCTTTCTACAGTCTACTCCAACTGTCATCACCTCAGTCATTTTTCTTTATTCCCTCATCTTATATTGGGCCATTGGCCCAACTTCACATTAGACCGCCAATGACTGGACCCTCCCTCTAGGTCTCTTGATTCAAATCCTTGAGAAAAGGAATCTGATAGAGTGAGGTGACTATCTCTGGACAGGATCACCTATGTCCACTCAGCATGGCTGGAGCAAGAGAGTTTAAAACTAGAAAATTAAATTGGGTATGAATGATACATTGGTATTTTTGCTAAAAATAAATTTTTAAATTATATTTTTATTGATTTCAGAGAGGAAGGGAGAGGGGAAAAGGGATAGAAACACCAATGATGAGAGAGAATCATTGATCAGCTGCCTCCTGCATGCCCCCTCCTGGGGATAGAGCCTGCAACCTGGGCATGTTCCCATGACTGGGAATCGAACAGTGACCTCCTGGTTCATAGATTGATGCTCAACCACTGAGCCACACCAACCGGGCTATGCTACAAAGAATTTACACAGACCACACATGTTCACATTCAGTAACTGGGTATTCCACATTCTCCTGTTAAGGCCAGAAGAAAGTTTATTCTGGTACAGGCCTAAGGCCTAGAGACAAATAAAGCCTTAGAATAGACTACAGTCACCTTAGAATAGACTGAATTCTGTGGGTGGAATAAATGAGGGCATAAAGAATACATCTGGAAGAAGTTTTAGCTTTGGATTATGTCTGTCTATTCAATGACCCAAACGAAGTAGAAATGTCAGTGGGGAAAAAAAACATAATTTTTTCCTAAAGTTATTTTTGTTCTATGACACTGAGGTTGAAACTAAGATGTAGATTCTGCTCTAATCGCCCCTTCTCAGTCTTATTCAGCTTTCTGAAGCTCCAGGAATGTGTCTGACTCACAGGCCAGCCTTGTGCGTTCAAGTGACAAATGTTATACATAGTATTATACACAGTGTGCTTGGAGAAGCTTCCAGAAGGCCATGACTACTCCAACAGGACCCTGGCAAAAATAAAAAATAAAAAAATAATGATAGCAATGCCAGAAATCTCATCATTAAAGATGCATCTAAGCCAGTGGTTCTCAACCTTCTGGCCCTTTAAATACAGCTCCTCATGTTGTGACCCAACCATAAAATTATTTTCGTTGCTACTTCATAACTGTAATGTTGCTACTGTTATGAATCGTAATGTAAATATCTGATATGCAGGATGGCCTTAGGCGACCCCTGTGAAAGGGTCGTTCCACCGCCAAAGGGGTCGCGACCCACAGGTTGAGAACCTCTGACCCAGATGCGTTTCTAAATACCATTCCCCACTAAAAGGAATAGCACATCTTGGAAATGGCTGATTCCAGGTCAAGGGCAGAAAAAGTTCAATGTGAGCCCTGAACATCTTGTCTCACAAACCAAAGAAATGCTCAGCTGGGTTGGGGGATGCGGGGGAGGGGGCTATAAGGGGTCAATGGGAGGAAAAAGGGGACATAGGTAAAACTTTCAACAATAAAGATTTTCAAAAAAAAGAAGTGCTCAAAAACTAATTGGGTCATATCAAAGGGACATAGAGACTTCCACTGGTTAAATGTGGAATAATGATGACAGTGAATTATAACCTCCAAAAGTCCATAGTTATATTTAAAAGAAAAAAAAGGCAAGTTCCTTTTTATAAAAGAATGCAGCTAATAAATGTAGATGAAATGGTAGAAGGAGGAAATGAACATTTTGCAACTCTCAACATAATAGTCAATCAAAGCAAGGATCCTCAGTGGATTTTTCAGTGATTACTATTGTTGGTGATGTTGGTTCCTGGGATCCATGCCATCCTCTCACTTCTATAGTTACAGTTACACCAGAGCCTTGAGTGTTGGAGACTGGCACCCAGGCTAGTCTGTCACTTTGGCAGAGAGCAGATACTTCGACATTTTTATAGCTCTTGAACTATAGTAGATCCAACATTTTGGACACAACATTGGGTCCACACATTTTGAAGCAATTTGTGCAGCCACTATCTTGTACCTTCACAAGAAATGTGTGTAATTATATGATTTTCTAATTAAGTGGGGTGGGGGGAGAAGTACACCTCATTGATTGGTTTTCATTTCTTTGTTCACTAATGAATTTGAACTTTTTTCTAATATGTTTATTGAGTCCATGGATTTCTTCTTGTGAGAATTTGACTATTTGTAGAATTTGCTCATTTATGTTTTTAAGGCGTAGTGTTCTTTTCTCATTTGTTCAGTCTTCTATGGTCTATGATGTATTATGATTTATTTTTACTGACATTGAGGATTTTTAAAAGTATATTATAAAAGGCCTTTGTTATAGGAAAAGCAATAATAGAAGAGCTGATGACACTGCAGAGATGAATTCATTCTTCTTCAAGAGGTCATAAAATAAATACTGTAACTTCTTTTTGTTTTTTACGTGCAAAGGCTGTTCTTTGTATGCACTCAAATTTGTCAGTATTTCCTTTACTATTATATCTATTATTTCTAAGCTTATAATTATAAAGATATCCCTTCACAATTTTCATAGCTGTTAATTATATTTTATTCTGATTTCTAAATGTTAGTATTTTATTAGTCTAACTTTTAAATGTATCTGAAATGGATTTTGAGACTGAACAAAAATAGTTTAAAATGTAAAAAATGACAAATTGACTTTCAAAATGGACTTGCTCTTTACCTTTTATCCAGCTAAATTATGACTACAGTGGATGGAAGAAGACCATGAATCCAGGCATTGCAAAGAAGATAAATATGCATGTCAAAAAAAGGAGATCTCAGCCAAAGAGAATAATGACAGAGAAGAAACTCATAAAATGTTCTTACTGAGAGACTGTTTGGGTTTTATTTTGTTGTTCTGATAGCTTGATTGTTGGGGGAGGGCTGCAAAAAGAAATGCAAAAAACTAGCTGATTTTAACTCGGTCTTATTGCAAAAATGCCTGAACAATACAAGAACAAGCTTGAATGGCTACAGCTGGTGCAGCCTCGCCTGGCCCACCTCCAGAATGAGGCCCAGAAATCAGGATTTTAAAAAGATTCCCAGGTGATGCTAATGTGCAGCCGAGGTTGAGAACCACTGGATTAGCCAAACCATGACTATTACACTTTCCCGAGCAGATAATCCTTCTATTTCCTGAATAAGCTCAGCAGTTAGGATTTACTTCTTCATCTTTTTCGGTGTTCCTTTGATTAAAATCTAATGAATTTATGATGTATGCACTTATGTTCTTTAATGACCAAATCGTTTACAGTTTGCACTCAGATCCTTTCACTTTCCTGAGGCCTGTCTGTTCGCCCCAGACGCTAACCTTTGGCTTCCAGGCAGTCTTTGTAAACAAGGAAAAATCATGGTCACTTTTTGCTGATTGCCTGGAAATATAAGAGACCCAGATGACAGAAATGTTCTCGGTGCCCTTCCTGTGGCTTTCTCCCTGCAGAAATAATTTGGTTTATTGAATTCATACCATTCTTACCTCCAAGCTGGTGGACGGTATTTATCAAGCTGCTTTCAGACTTCACACCTGGGTAATTCTGTTGCTTGAATTTTCTCATTGGTTGTTAAATAATTGAACTATGTTCATTTTTTTCTTTGTACCGTAATGTTTTCGTTTCCAATCGCAAACAGCTTCTATCTGTTGAGGATTCAGTTGTTCAAAATATACTTTTAACTGTTTGAGGCTCATAGTTGAATTGTGTATCATAATTGCAAAGGAGAGGATAGAAAGGGAACAGGAAAACTTCTAGTTTTAGCCTATCAACCCTAATGGGCAACAGTGGCTGCTAATTCTTAAACTGATATTATCTGGCCTTTGCTTTAAATGCATTTTTATTGTTGTTGTTGTTGAACCACAGTGTCTAACAGATATAAATATCCCTTAAGTAAATGAATGAATGAAATCCAGAAATTTAAATACTATACTCCAGAATTAATTAAAGACTATATGGCAGCCTAAAACCAACCCATTACAGTGATGAATTTGAAGAAAGTACATTAAATCATTAGACAGATGGGCCCATGCCTCATTTTAAAAATGTAATTCTCTTTTACAACTTTAAAAGCTAATACCATGAGAAGGCAATTTGGTCTGTTTTCTGACTCTATTAGAAACAGCTGATTAACATTCCTGTTAGCTGCGTGTAATTCATATTAAAGGAAGGGGAAAAACTACACTTTCATATTTTAAGCTCTTTTTCTTGTATTGTGAGATCTGGTTCCTTTACCACCCAGCCTTAGAATACATTTCTTAGGTGGATTTTACCCATTACAAGCCCCTATGAAATGCTAGATTCCCAGGTTGGCTTCTTTTATTAGATTAGCTATCTTGTTTTTACCCTCTTGGCCTTCCTGAGGGACTAGGTTCAATGTGGCTAAATTGTCAAGTCCAGGGGTCCTCAAACTACGGCCCGTGGGCCACATGCAAATACAAATATTGTATTTGTTCCCATTTTTTTTTTTTACTTCAAAATAAGATATGTGCAGTGTGCATAGGAATTTGTTCATAGTTTTTTTTTAAACTATAGTTCGGCCCTCCAACGGTCTGAGGGACAGTGAACTGGCCCCCTGTTTAAAAAGTTTGAGGACCCCTGGTCAAGTCGATGAGGGGTGCAGGGAGGATGGGAAAAGCTGGGGCAGGAGGACACTGGGCATCTGTCTAGATGGGAGAGGAGAAGGGAAGGAAAATTATAAAGGAAACAGGAGAAGGCAAAAAGGATAAGAAATAAGGATAATTTCACCCTTAATGTTCATGCAGCCCATCAGTCAGTCAACCAACATTTATTGCGTGCCTGCTGTATGCTGGTGCTGTGCCACTTCCATGCTGTGCAGGTGTCAAAGACACCGCTTCTTCCTGTCTTCAAGGATTGTATAACCTAGAAGAGGAGAAAAGGTGAAGACAATGATGTTAACAGAAGGTAGAATGAGATCAAGGCTGTGCATTCATTCATCCTTGAATTCCTCTCCTCCATTTTCTCTTAAGTCCACTCTAAAAAGTTCTTACCCCCACTACTCCTCCAAAACCTCTTTCAGAAAGGTCACTCATGATCAAATGCTAAATGTAATGGCCAGTTCTCAGTCCTTATCTGACTTATTAGCAGTATTTGTCACAACCCAGCATTCTCCCTGAAATACAGTCTTTTCTTGGCTTCCAGAACACGCACTCTTGGTTTCATCCTCTCTCTTCTGTCTCTTTTTGAATCCTTTGTTAGTTCTTCAGCTTCTCTCATATTTCTTTATGCTGACATGTGCCAGAACTTGATTGTCGTCCTCTTCTGCTCTCTGTCTACAGTCACCCCCTTGATGATCTCATCTAGGTTGATGACTCTAAATACCACCTTCTTGCTGATAACTCCCAAATTTATAGCTCCAACCGAGACCTTCTTTCTGAACTTGAGATTCACATATCCAACTGGGTTCTTGATACCCAAACTTGAACATCTAATAAACATCTCATGTCCAACCTATCCAAAACTGAACTTCTGATCTCTACCGCCCACCCACCCCCCATTCCATCAAATCTACTTAACCTACAACTTTCCTTTTCTCAGTTTATGGCAACTCTATTCTTCTATTAACTCGGGCTTAAAACCTTGGAGTCATCTGTGGTTCCTCTCTCTCTCTCACATCTCATATGCAAACATTTTTGGAACAAAATTAGAGTAAATATGTTTAAGTTTTTAAAAAACTTAAAACTTTATCATTTCTCACCATCTTCAAAGCTACCACTGTGATCTAAGTAACCTGGTCCTGTCAGGTTTTCTTACATTCTAACTGATCTCTCTACTTCAACTTTTGCCCTCCTACCTTAGACTATTATCAACCTCGCTGCCAGAGTAATTCTTGTAAAACTTAAGTCAGATAACTCAGATCATGTCCAAAACCCCACAATAGCTTATCTTTCAACTTATCATGAAAGCCAGAGTCTTTACAAATGGCCAAAAGTCCTCTGAGATGATGTTACTCTTCTCCTTCTCCTTGCTCACTTGCTCTAGACCAGGGGTGGGCAACCCCTGGCACTCGTGTCAAACATGGCATGCCAGTAACTTTTGCTGGCACGTGAAGCCCTCTCTTATAATCTTCCATTTACAATTTTTTTCTTAATATCGACTTCTTTATTTTTCAGATAAATTCAGTGTAGGTGCATCTTAGATAAATAATTTTACATAACAAGTTATCTTAAAGACCATACACATGGATTGACGAGAGAGGGGAAGAGCAATTTCTATGCCTCTGCCTTAACTCCCCCTGCCTTCCTAGATCTGACCAGTGTTTTGGTTTCATCCACATACGCTTGTGAATCTTTGTTCTCAGTGATGAATTTTGTTAAGTCTCATAATAGGAGTAGCCTGACGGATGAAAGTAGTAGCTCGTGCATATCTCTGAAGGTCACGAAATATAAACCTGATGTAAAATCTCTGTCATCAGTGATGCAGCAGCAAAAGTCCCATTGATAATATCAAACGGAGTCATAAAGTTTTCTGTCGGACTATCAGTGTACATGTATACATTAAAAAATAAATGTATTTTTCATCATCATATACTGTGTTTTTGTCGCTCGAATGAATTTTATTATTTCTTCAAGGTTCTTCACATACGTACACCTTAAGAGATATCAAGTAGGCGTAACATGTTCTCAAAAAATTAGGGTTGACATGCAGAAGAATTTTGAGTCAGAGATTTTGCTGGTTTTGGCACGCACTCACAAAAAGGTTGCCCACCCCTGCTCTAGACACACTGCCTCCTGCTATTTCTCCAACACACCAGGAATTCTCAGGGCCTTTGCACGGGTCATCCCTCCTAGCCACTCTACCCCTAGCCCAGATGCCTGCATGACTAACCCCTTCCGCTCCTTTAAGCCTTGGCTCAAAAGCCACCATTGCAATTGGACCCCCCGACCACCTTATTTAATGCTGCAGATTACGCACCTCCATTTTTTCTTTATACTTTAGCTTTTCATTTTCATTTTACTTTACCTTGTCATTTTTCCATAGCATATATATATCACTTTCTAACATATATAATTTCCTTACTATCATCTGTATTGTTTGTCTCTCCCTGCTAGGAGCTGAGCTCCATGAAGGAAGGGATCTTTATTTTATGTTTTTTTAATTAAATTTATTAGAGTTACATTGGTTAATAAGATTATATAGTTTCAAGTGTACATTTCAATAACACATGATCTGTATATTGCACTGTGTGCCCACCACAAAGTCAAATCATCTTTTGTCACCATATATTTGGCCCTCTTTACCCTTTACTACTCCCCACACCCTTCCCTCTGGTAACCACCAAACTACTGTTCATGTCTATGAGTTTCAGTTTTATATCCCACATATGGGAGAAATCAGATGATCCTTAGCTTATTCTGAATGACTTATTTCGCTTAGCATAATATCCTCAAGGTCTATCCATGTTGTTGCAAATGGCAGTATTTTGTCTTCTCTTTATTCACTGATAAAACTCAAACACCTAGAACACTGTCTGGGATGTTGAAGGTGCTTAATGAAATTTTTTGAATTGAAATTGAATTCATTCAACATCCATTTGACAAATACATATTTAGTACCTACTATGTGCCAGGCACGGTGCTAGAGGCTTGATATTCAGCAATGAATAAAATAGACTTGTCCTTATGTTCATGAAACTCACAGACCATCAGGGATCACGGATTCTGGGCAAGTAATTGCAATGTGATGATTGTCACAACAGACAAGTAAAGAGCATTATGGAACATATATTAGGAAGCTCATTGATGCTTAGGAGTCACAAAAAGCCTCCACAAGTTCAGACATGAATAAAATTTAGAGGGGGACCAGCTAGTAGGAGGGCAT